GCCCTCCTAGTTGCCAAAAAACAAGGGGGTTTAAAAAACTCTGGTCTTTGGGAAATAGGAAAAACCCAGGGAGTCAGACTATGTCACAAGAAAGGTCTTAATTTTAGCATTTTAGCATTTAGCTTCTGTAGTTCTTCTTCTGGCTTACTGTTCTTGTTAATTGAAGAATGATAACCCAGAACATTGTTTTGTGCTTACAAACTTACCCTGAGAAAGGCTCAGTGTTACACTGGGATCCTAAACACCCAGTGTAGTCATCAGCTGGCTAATAAAGACTTTCTATTGGCTTAAACCCATGTCTGAGCTGATGAATATCCCATAACACTACACAGTCAGTCCAAAACAAGTTCTCCCACTTCATTTATGCTCCAATACACCTCTCTTTATTTCATGCTAGAGGTCGTAATAGAGAATGTGTTTGGGGTTACTAGGTCACACCTCGTGCTATGTGCCTCTGATCTTCATTTTAAAAATTTTGTAGTAGTATGTATTAATTCTATGCAATCATATCTTTAATAACAATTTTCTTATATGTACACAATTCATTCCAATCATATTTACCCTCCCATCATCTTCTCATGTCTCCTGTGTGTGTGTGTGTGTGTGTGTGTGTGTGTTTCCTAGTAATTTTTATTAGGAGCATGGGGAAAGATTTGTTTACAGGAGCACAGGCACATTACTAGTGGTTATACTACTGAACAAAATGTCTCTCCATCCCTCTTTAGCCTTTAACTGTGTGAAAATCCTCTGGGAGAGATGGGACGTGTGAGTTCCTCCCTATTCCATGAAATCTAGTGTAGGAATTAAGAGCACAACAGCCATCTCATGCCCAGAAATCATATTCCACATACCTAATTCTTACATTCTTTCTGTCCCTTGTTCCATAATATCCCCTGAATCTCCGGGGGTGTGTGAGATGTCTTATTAATGGATGGATATTCAACAATCACTTACTCTCATCATAGTGACCAGTTGTGAGTATCTGCAGTTACTGTAAGAAGAAGTTTCTCTGACAGAACCCCATAGTTCTTCTGCCTTTCTTTCTTCCAAGTCACTCTATGATATATCAAGGAAGATGACTGTCCTGTTCACAGTTTCTTATGGTGTCTGATACATAATAAAGCATTCCATAAGGTTTTATGAATGACTTGATAAATACGTGAAATTATTCAAGCTGTACCAACCTGTCTCCCCTTACCTTCTCCATGCTGGCCCAGTGATCTATCACATCATTAGCAAAGTTGAACTTGGCAGGTGCTTCCTGGTGGCCCCACTGTATGGGCATTAGTTTCTTGATATTAACATGCAAAGTTCGGTGGGACATCTCAGTAACCCAGGGAGTGTAAAGTCTTGGAATTTTCCACCGCCAACACATGGTCAGAGCTGTGAAGAAAGGAATTATAGGTGAGGTCTTCCCTACTGGATTTTGACACTCACCATAAACTAGTGGAGACAGCTATCTCTTCTCTGTCCTTCAGGGTTGATGGGTTGTATTGGTGAGTGGATTGAATTGAAACTCAGTGCCTGCTTCAGTCTCTTTCTGTGTATTATTCTCCTAAAGAGTCATCCCACCAGCTCCCATTTCTCACTAGGCCTCCTGACCAGAGAATCCCAGTGATCCTTTTGTCTCTGATCCCCTAGCACTGGGCTCACACAAACACAGTTTTTCACATGGGTGCTCAGCTTCTGAATGAGGGCTCTCATGCTATTGTAGTAAGTGCCCTTACCCAAGGTGCCATCTCCCTATCACTATTTTCAGGGCTTTCTGTGAGAATTACATATCTTAGATGAGCACTAACCTTTCCTGGGTCCCCGAATGATGGCATGAGGAACTAAGCTAGGCCCAACCTGGTCCCTTCCAACCTACAGTTATTTTCAAATAAGATTTCTAGGCACATTCTAGATCTGTGTTAAGAGGAAACAACTATGAAATGTGTGGGATGCTCGTTAATGCACCAACTGTGGCTAATACACTAATTCTTTGGAGTCAGTTTTGATTGACACATCTGAGAAACTACCCATGTACAGTACAGGATCTAACATAAGTAATCACTTACAGAATTATAGCTGTTGTATTTTTTTTCAGCTTCATTGGCTCCAGGAAAAGATGTTCCAAGGCTATAAACATTGGTTTTTGATTTCTGGCACATGCTCTTGGATGAGGCTGAAGAATTTTAAGCCTAATGACCTTTGAGTCAGGGAATCGGGCCAGCAATCTATCCTGTTGGCTGGATTCCCAGCCCCCTTGGTTTAGGCAGAAACTATTAGAATGCTTGACTGTGGCAATTACAAGTTTTTTCTTGATTTCTCAAAGAAGAAGAGGCAAGACTTTCCTTCCCAGGCCATGGGCAGCAATAGTTAGTGTTTACATGGTTGATGGTTTCTCTCCCTTTCAGCGGCTATTTCTTATCTTCCATCCTCTCCTCTTCAAATAAGCATCTACATCTTCACCACCAGCTAACTCTCTGCTTCTTCTGTGTACACTCTTGTCCAGCTCTCCCGTCCTCCACTTTCGGGTGGCTGAAGGCTCCTTCTCCTCTATGCAATGTTGTCCCCTTATTAAGACTTTGTGACACTCCCTTTGTGGCTCCTAGGAGTTTTGAACTATTTTTCTTTTGGGAATTTCCCCTGTCCTTGCTATCCATTACTCCTCATGACTGGTGAGTGTCATCATGATGCATGGCCCCACTTTTTTGTCTCTTGCATAAACACTCACCTGCTGGTCTTCTTCTGGAACTCTCTCTGGCAGTGGCTTGGTCTACTTCCCTCTCGGAAGTAGTTCTAGAGTTCCCGAAGCACCAGTGGAGAGAACAGCAATGAAGCTGACAGTTCCCTGATCAAATCCAAGCAGCCTGCAAGGGCTCAGCTAATGATTAATGCTGCATAACTTTAGGCTGATGTTACTCCTCCTAGTCAAGTTTATGTGTAACACAGTCTTTGAATCTGTGGTGGGATGGCAACTGAACTGCTCCTTAGCCCAAGGCATCAATGTGTGGGTTATTCCCGTGATTGACAGCAAGCTTTGTCCCAAGGAAGAGAATGGAGCTTCAGAGTCCCTATGCACTGTCTCACTCCCTTTAATCTTTTCATTCATTTGACTTCTACCAAGAGTCTCTTTCCTTGCTCTGTTTGTGACACTCATCCAGGGTCACTGCTTGAATCCAGGCCTCTTGCCAATGGCCCCACAAGTGTATCTCTTGGCTGGATCTCTTTCCTGGGTGTTCATCTCTTTAATGTCTCCACTTAGAGATTTTTTAAAAGTAGATTCAGATAGTGCTAGGCATTCTAGCTCTAAAGCATCCCACTGTATCTTAGGCCTTTACCAGCAGATGGACACCCTGATTTCCCTGCATGAAATCTCAGGTTTCCACCTCCTTTATGCCTAGATCTGGTCCGTCTGTTGGTTCTGTCTTCCAGCTGAGACTGCAATCTCTCTCACTCTCTTCGGTGTTCCAAACCATCATTTTCTATCTGTCTTGGTGTTACTGTCACTGTGACGAAGCACCACGACTAAACACAAGTTGACGAGGAGCAGGTTGTTTTGGCTCACACTTCCACATTGTGGTGTATCATGGAAGAAAGCCAGGAAAGGAACTCAAACAGAGCAGGAACCTGGAGGTATGAGCTGATGCAGAGGCCATGGAGGAGTGCTGCTTACTGGCTTGTTCTTGTAGAACCCAGGACTGCCAGCTCAGATATGCACCAGCTACAATGAGCTGGGTCCCCCCTCACCAGTCGCTAATTGAGAAAATGCCCTACAGTTGGATCTTATGGAGATCTCATCTTAATTGAGGCTCCCTCCTTTCAGTTAACTCTAGTGTGTATTCAGATGACATAAAACTAGTCAGCAAACTATCCATAGGAACATTTTGTGCTTTCTTTTCTATTCTTCTTGCCTCTGCCCTTGAAATTTGTTCTCAGAAGGAGTCTGACTTAACTCAGTCAGACCCTGGAGTCTTCCAAATGAAATACATTGCTGTTGTCTTGTAGGTCACTATCTCAAAGCCTTTCCAGAACTCTTCCTCCTGATTTCCTAGTCCAATCAGTGGACCTTCCTTGTCAACTTGTCTCCATGCTAGATATATTCTGGCCTCAGAAACTTTGTGCATATTATTCCCTCTGCCTGAAATCCCTCCCCCAACAGTTGGATGACCAGTTCACCTGCTAGCATGCCATCCTGTCTAAAACTCATCTGTCTTAGTTAGTTTTTTTGTTTGTTTGTTTTTGTTTGTTTGTTGTTTTGTTTTTTTCTTTGACAGAAGCTAAAACAATCTGGGAAGAGGGAAGCTCAGTTGAAAAATATACATTCACTAAATTGGCCTGTGGGCAAGTCTGTGGCAGATTTTCTTGATTAATGATTGATATGGGAGGGTCCAATCCAGTATATGTGGTGCTGCCACAGAGTGGGTGGTCCTGGGTTGTATATATTACTTATAATATATTACATATATAAACATATATTATGCATAAATACATAAATAATTTATATACCACATAACTATACAAATATAAACATATATGTATATAACATTTCCTGAACAAGCCTTGGGAACCGAGCTAGCGAGGAACATTCTTCTCTGTCCTCTGCTTCAGTTTCTGCCTCTGAGTTCTTTCTGTGAGTTCTTGCCCTGACTTACCTGCAAGATGGATTGTAAGCTGTAAGATGAAATGGATCCTCTCTTCCTTGTTTTTTTTTTTTTTTTTTTTTTGTGGTCATGGTGTTTATCACAGCAATGGAATGCAAATTAGAGCATCATAATTTGTTTTTGTTTTTCAGCCAAAGCATTTTTTTCAACCAAATATTTTCTTTAATGTATGTGATGTGTTTGTGTGTAGGTTCCCATGAAGCCCAGAACGGAATGTCAGATCCATGGAGCTAGAGTTACCTTGTGAATAGCCTGATATAGGTGCTGGGAAGTGAACTCTGATCCTCTGGAAGGGAAGAGTACATGCTCTTAAACACTGAACCATTTCTCCAGCCCCTTAGAGCATTACCTTTGTGAGTTCTTTCAGCACATCTGATCTACCATCATAGCCTCCATTTTCCCTGCTGTGTTTCTTCTCTCTGGCCATATGTACCTCACCACACGTGCTTTCTCTTCGTTTGTCTTCCTTTGTATTTTTCACACATGCTCTTGAGGGGAAGAATTTTCATGTTTCATGATTCTTATTTCCCAAAGTCCTGAAGCAGCTCCAAGTACCCATCCAGTAAATACAGTAAATGTATGTTGAATAAATTGTCCTTCATCCTCAAAATAACCTTGTGAATCAGGGGTTACTTATGTGTATATGCACACACACACATGCACACACATGCACACACACACACACACACACACACACCTATGTAACATCCTTTTTGGCAGTTTATACATACATATACCACATTGTGATCACACTCACCCACTTTCCCTCTCCTTCCTCCCTCCCACTGCTGATTGCCTTTTTTTCTTTTGAATTTTGTTTTGTTTTTGGTGTGTGTGTGTGTGTGTGTGTGTGTGTGTGTGTGTGAGAAGACTTGTTTTTGACCCACTCAGTTTAAATAGGGTTTCTTACATGTGCATGAACATAGACAGGGCATTATATACTGTAGCAGGAACAACGGACCAATGCCTACACTAGTAAAGAAAATGTCACCTACCTGGGATTGGTGCCAAGCAACCCTTATCTCAAGTCAAGTGGCCACGTTGCCTATGAGCCAGACAGAGGCAAATAAGATTTCAGAAGAGGTTGAGAAAGATCAAATAGGGAGACAGAGGTTCATACACATAGATGGTCACATAGATTCTAGCTCTGTCTTTCATATGCTTTAGGGAATGAAGGTCAAAGTCTTCAAACTCACTTTCATTGCTTATCTATAGGGAATAAAAATAGCCCCTGTTTACCCTTCTTTTCCTCTCCACAGCTCTTTGGCAATTTTTCAGTGGTCTGAAGTTCATTCTCGTATCATCCTGTTTCCAGTGACCACGAGGAGTTCAGAGTGGCATGCTTTCCAGCCTTTGAGGACCACTGATAATTCAAGCTTTAGTTTCTCTTTCTGTTGGATAGGTTAACAGTGACATCTCTAAGTTTGCGTGAAAGAAGATGTGTTACAAGACATTTGTTCACACTGTCAATCCTATGATTGTGTAATTTACTAGAAAAACCTGCTTTTAGTTGTGGCGTGGCTCAGTTTTATCATACACCTTTAATCCAAGAGCTTCCTCCTTGAATAGTGTAAACAGGATTAAATAAAGTCAACCATAGGTCAAGAAGGAAAGCAAGCAGCCAGTTGACAGGAAGTAAACATAGAATTATTAAGAAAAACCCATAGAGAGTAAGAGGAAATCAGGAGACAGATAGAGATACACACAGGAAGTAGGAGGGATATCGAGCTTGAAGGAGGTTGTTTGAGACAGTGCAAGAGAGGGGCATGCCTGGAAGGATGTAGGCTGAGGAGGAAGGTCAGCTGGATACTTTCCCTAGAGGCTTTCACCCCAGAATCTGGCTCCTGAGTCTTCATTAGTAAAATCTAACAATTGAGATTTTGTTAAAATACAACAAAGACATGATGAAATGATTCTTACAGAGGTAAAAAAACAAACAAACAAACAAACCTGGCAGCTCTATTGCTGCTCTGACTCATTCATAAGGTCAGAAACACACAGGTCGGGCTGGGGAACTGGATCAGTAGATGAAAGTATTTGTGACACATGTCTAAGATATGGGAGTATGCGTGTGTAACACTAGCACTCCTAGGACAAGATATGAAGCAGAGAAAGGAGAATCATCTGGAAGCTTGCAAGACCAGCCAACCCTGGAGAATGCTGCACGAGAGAGGTCCTGTTCAACGAGGTACAAGCACTGGTGCCTGCAAGCTGTCCTGTGACCACCATGCCCATTCTGTGGCATATGGGTGCCAATCCTGAAAGTGTCTATCTTCCTTCTTCTACACTTCCATAACAGAAATTCCTGATTGCTTTTGAATCATGCAGCCACAAGCTCTTCTGTACTCTTCTGGAAAGTTCTCTATATTGACTTTGAGCCCCTTTTGTCATTGCTTTGCAAGGCCACTCATATCTGCCCACAGTAAGCATTTAGAACATCAAGAATATGGAGCCAGCTGGACTGCACTACTTTCTCCAGTGCTGTGAGCCTATATCTAGAGTAGAAATCAAAGCCTGAGCTACTGTTTTCCCATATGGCTCAGTGTTGGGACTTTAGTAGGATTTGCTTGGAAAGGGGGGAGCTGCTTTCTGAAAGAATTAGGAAAGATTTACTTCCTGGTCAGTGCTTAGATTTACTGTGCTCATTGGGAGTCCAATGGGAGAATGACAGGCTACTCTTCCTATTGCTTTTTCTCCTTCGTAGGTGCAGTTGCCCTATCTTAAGTGCTTATCCAGGACATTAAAGCTACTAACCTCTGCTGGACTTGTCTTTTCCTGGATGTGAGGCAGGAGTAGATTTCACCCCACCTTTCATGATCACTGATGCTTTTAAAGCCTTGTGTACCCACTCCTCAGTCTGGATTTACATGGTTTTATTTTTTAAGCTAATATATTTATTTTTGAAATTTGTGTGTGTGTGTGTGTGTGTGTGTGTGTGTATGTGACATATAAAATGTACTTCGACCATGCTCCCATTATCCTCTTACCATAAAACTCTTTCCCCAATACATCCCCCTTCTACCTTCATATTTATTTTTATGATATGGTGGGGAGTTATTTACTTGAGCAAGAGTGACTTAACAGGTGGCTACCTCACTGGGGATTATACTGCTTCAGTAACCATTAACTGATGACAGTTCCTCAAGGAGGAAGGCCTTGTGAACCTCTCCAGCATCCACAAGAAGTGTTGATGCATCCAGTGTGATG